CAAGAAAAAAAGGTAAGTTGTGAAAGGTACCAGGGCATCTCAGAAAGCCCCCCTACTGACGATCCCCGCAGGATGAATCAGATTTGCGGATTGAGCATAATGGGTCAGAGTCCGATCCATTATGCTCAATCCGCAGATCCGATCCATTCTGATAGGGATCGTTGAAGGGGGTGGATGGGGGAGGATTGACCAGGCATTCCAGAACTGCCCTGGGGCCCAGGGTCTGTAGGGGGCCCCATGACTGCTCTTTGTACCTTTCATAGGCTTTTGTGGGTGTGCTTTGAGTGTGGGCAAGTCACAGGGGTGAGCACAGAGAAACACACATGTGAAGGAACAGCAAGGAGGGGGAGCATCTAATTTGCAGACCTGCTCCTGGATACACGGAGGGACCCAGACCAGATCCTTTAACGTCCAACACTCAGGGGGACCCCTAAGTGGAGAGGATCCAGCCCCCACATCATACACAGCAGAGGGAGGACATACCCAGTTCGGATGACATCTGGATCATTTATACACAAAGGCGCATATTTTATGCGGGTCTGGTGAGTGTATTGCATTGCTTTATCACTTTCGTGCACGGATACCTGAACCAGTACCTGAATACCTAAGTGTCCTGCATACTTGAGCACCGATCTCATGTCACCTAATTTAGGGGACTTTTTATTGATCGAACTGGAATATGGGGGTCATTATCTATTATGGGGAGCTGACATTTTATGAGTAAGGTCTTCTAGGGGTTATTGGTACCTCATTCGGCATAGGGAGCTTTAATCAATTGGAGTACTAAGGCGCTTCTCTCCAAGCACTTTCAAGGACACAGGGGCCCCTTGATTTCCTATTGTCCAGGGGGCCCAATGAGTTGTCAGTCCGCCCCTGGGCGGGTGTCACCGCACTGGGTGACACCAACCCTAGGGATGCCTCTGCTCGGGACTGTCCATAATTTTAAAGGGTGCCTTGACTGAAAAAAGGTTGAGAAACATTGTGCTAGACATAAAGGGATCTGACAGTTCTGTGTACAATCAGTGACTTTACAATCCATACACCAGGGGTGGGTAACTGTAGCCCTCCAGCTGTTGTAGAACTACAAGTCCCATGAGGCATTGCAAAACTGACAGTTACAAGCTTAACTCCCAAAGGCAGAGGCATGATGGGACTTGTAGTTCACCAACAGCTGGAGGGCCACAGTTGCCCGCCCCGTCACACACAATTGGTCACAAGCTCCAGAGATCTTCTATCTGTGATAGGAGGATGGATGGATATGGGGGGGGGGGGGGGTCTTAGTAGAGCCTGTAGGAGAATACTGTATATTAGGATGGAGGGGCTGTCAGGGTTACTTGGGTACCCCAGCATTCACCCCCTCAGTGGGCCGGGATCTGATGGTTTTGTATGTTCAGGGTTCCTTACGTTGGGTGTTTGATTTCTCCCATCTGCTCCTGGAAGAAGTTTCTTTCCACAATATAATGCACGGAGATTCCAATGACCAGGATGAATATTTATCTTACTCCAGCCAATGTCTGGGAGGAGGCGCCCACCCCCATACAGCTCCTGACATACATTGTTGGGGGGAGGATTGTATGTTATCATTTATTGATGGGAGTTTATAGAACAATGTGATCTGATGACAGGGACGGATCTTCATTGTCCTCCATCCTTTACTTCTGATACATTTCTTCTGGAGATCAATATATACCAAACAATCATCTTCCCGACTCTCGGAGGAACGCGGATCTCATCATCACCTTCTTCAGTCATCAGAAGAAATCAGAAATGTTACAATTTGAAGGAATCTCCCGGATCTGTGATTGGCTCAGCATTCAAATTCCTGCATTCAAATTTCCTGCCGGAATTCTATGGAATCTTCTCCGATCCTCCGACCCGACCCTTCCGGTGAACATCGATCATCGGCCCCTTCGTCTCGGGCAGTTTAATGGACTAAGAACAGGAAATCCGTTGGACATCTTCATGTCAGATCGGTTCCGGCTTCGATTTGTAATTCAGAATACAGAATCCGCCCCGCTATAGAGATCAATGGAGAGTCTACGGAACAAATATTTTCTGGGCTGAAGACGGAGACAGATCTCAGGATACATTTATTTGGACTCCTCATCAGAAAGTTATTATTGGCTGGTGAAGGGAACGCCCACAACTGTGATTGGCTCAGATTTCAAATTTGCCCGCCAGAATGGTGTAGATCGTCACAGTTAAACATTTAAAATTATTATACCGCCAAATCCGACCCGGAGAACAAAGGAGATCATCAGATGAGACGTTTCTGCGAGAAATATCAACACTTTAATTCCAAGCAGATTCATCGATCATTCCGGAATGACTATTTACAGGATTCAGTAATCACTAAAGTCCATTCAAACACTTCTGTATGTTCTATTTAATCCAAGTCCAGGATCCCCCACTGCTATATATATAGAACATGATAGGGAGATGATAGAGGTGTCCTTTTATGACACAGAGAATAGCTGCGATTCAACAGATCTCAGCTATTCTCTGGTCATTCACAGTTTATAACACTTAGGAGATCCTGTCAGCCCTTCTCTGGAGATCTGTGTTTCTCCGTCCAGATTCTCCAGCCCAGAGCTGGAGAATCAGAGGGACCGAAAACTAAGCAGAGATAATTTACCTCTGCTTAGTAAACTGGTCTTTTACTATAATCTGGAGAGATTATATAAAATGAGCTAGAGTTTTCTGATTATCCAGCGTTTGGAAGCCGTTCTCCCTTCGTTCGGAGAACTGCTTTATAAACTGCATTCACAGGAGAACTATGTTCTCCGAGAATGCAGGAGAACTGAGCAGCGATTATTACCTCTGGTTCACAAAGGGAGATTATTTATATTGTAGATCTCTACCTTTCTATATGATGGGAAATAAAGTTTTGTACATTTCATGATCAGATCTGTACATGTTCATGTCACTGACCGATAATAATCCTGACACTGCCAGATAAATACAATACATTCATACAGCAAATATTTCATGTCTGGACAATAATAGTGATAGATAAAGCAAACAAATAGAAAAACAGTCCTTTTACCTCTTTGTATCTGGAAATCAACAAAATGTTTACAAGGTTCAAAGTCAAGGAAATTCTCTGCAGAAATTGCTGTGACCCGCCCCGACCCGCTAGGACATATAAACAGGAAAATAGGATATCGTTTTTTTTTTTCCTTTTCAAAGAAATATTTAAAAAAATATGAAATTAATAAACACAGTAATTAGTGATTGTAGTCTCAGTTATGAAATGTGAAAGATGAATATTTTCGGTGTCATTTTCGAGGACTAAATAGAAGACTATTGAGAAGGAAGAATAGAAATGCCTTCTGCAGATGTATTGTGTTTTGCATCAAAGTTTCTGACACCATATACACGAAGAACATTGTATTTTGTGTAAAGAATGGGTGTGACTCCGCCTCTTCCCAGGAAGGTTCCCATCAGGTCCGCTCAGGCTGTATAAAAGGAAGGCGGGCCCAGCCCAGAGCTCAGTCGGTGTTTGCAGCAGAGAAGAGTCGTCATGTCTGGTCGCGGTAAAGGAGGGAAGGGTCTGGGGAAAGGCGGCGCCAAGCGCCACAGGAAGGTGCTCCGGGACAACATCCAGGGCATCACCAAACCCGCCATCCGACGTTTGGCCCGCAGAGGGGGAGTCAAGCGCATCTCCGGCCTCATCTATGAGGAGACCCGCGGAGTGCTGAAAGTCTTCCTGGAGAATGTCATCCGCGATGCCGTCACCTACACCGAGCACGCCAAGAGGAAGACCGTCACCGCCATGGATGTCGTCTATGCTCTCAAACGGCAGGGACGCACTCTCTACGGATTCGGGGGATAAATCCTCACAACCACCCCCCCCCCCCCCTTCATCGTCACAAAGGCCCTTCTCAGGGCCGCCCACCTTCTCATACAAAGGGCTATTGAACATCTCCAGGGTTCTGTTTCTCCTGGGGGAGGATTGTCGCTCATTCCAGTGATGGGACCCGCTATCCGGATATTTTATTTATTTAGAAACCACGTTATATATTCTCTACCGATTCGTTGTACATGTGTGTCTGGGAGGGTCAGGGTTACTGGCCATGGATTATTGAAGCATTTCATTATCACATCCAGAATATCGGTGCCATGAGTGGTAGAGATATACTAGTATCGCCCCCCTTTCATTGTCACAAAGGGCTATTGATAAACATCGAGATCAATCTTGGAGGGAGGATTGTCGGATAAGGGGAGATGATCCGAATGTGAATGTTTAGAAACTTCTTTGTACATATGTGTTTGGCAGAGTCATGAGTTTTCTACAAATCATTTCACCATTCTGGATGTGAGATCTGTAGCTGCTGCAAGTCTGATATATTCAAGAGATTCATTAACCAGAATCCATTTGTACACAGCGGACTGCTTGGAATGAAAGTGTTGCTGATTGTTCGCCGATAAATGTCACATCTCATCTTTGTTCTCCGCCTCGGATTTGGCGGTATAAAATGGATGAATATTTCTCTGGAATGATCTACACAATTCCTGCGGGAAAAAATGGGATGAAGCAATTAAACAACTATTCACAGTGCACGAAGTTCTCCATCTTGTCGGGTTTTGAGTAGACAAAACATTTCACATGAATATTTGCAATGCTCGGAAGGATTAATCGATCTTCCCGGAGAAAACGGTCAATGGATGCAGATTGTCTGTGACGGTCCATAGAACTCCGGCGGGGGAACGTGACATTATACAATTGAAGCAATGATAATTTTTCATTCAGATAAAGAAAAAAAAAATTGTTTGGGAAGAAGTTATATGATCGGAGGATTGATAGTCATTCCTAAAGTCCTTATTTTTACAGTTTAGATTTCGGATGTGAAAACCGGTTATCAGCTACAAATAACCCGCCCAATCCCGGGGCGCCGAGAGATCACTTTCAACCCAGAAAGTTCAACATAGAAATCCTTCCCGGCGTCCAAACGTCTTCCTATGGAGAAGCAGAGATGACACCCGGATGTAGAGGAGACTTACTGTCCGGACGGCGGGAAGGATTTCCACCTTTTAGAATTATCATTACAAACACGTGACAGTTTCCATCCCAGAACGTCCTTTACTAATCCGACATCTACAGAGCAGGACGGAGGGAAGAAGTCGCCGACTTTCCTCCTCCACCCCCCCAGACCCCCCGAGAATCCCATAGAAGCGGGAGATAGAGAGGAGTGTGGGATTGGTGTCCATAGAAGCCGTATGTCCGCCCTTTGTATGGAGATGTGGGGGGCTCTGAGAAGAGCCGTTGTGTTGGCGGATAGAAGGGAATCCTGTGGGGGGATTACTTGCTCTTGGCGGCCTTGTGGCTCTCGGTCTTCTTGGGCAGCAGCACGGCCTGGATGTTGGGCAGGACTCCTCCCTGGGCGATGGTGACGCCGCCCAGCAGCTTGTTGAGCTCCTCGTCGTTGCGGACAGCCAGCTGGAGGTGTCGGGGGATGATGCGGGGTCTTCTTGTTGTCTCGGGCGGCGTTGCCGGCCAGCTCCAGGATCTCAGCCGTCAGATACTCCAGGACGGCGGCCAGATAGACGGGAGCTCCGGCCCCGACCCGCTCGGCATAGTTGCCCTTCCGGAGCAGACGGTGAACACGACCGACGGGGAACTGCAGACCAGCCCGGGACGATCGGGTCTTGGCCTTAGCCCGAGTCTTGCCTCCTTGTTTGCCGCGACCAGACATGATGGGATGACTGACGAATCACACACAGATAGGCCCCAGCAGCCGCTTCCTCTCCTTTATACACTCCATGCTCTGACGTCACACGCTGGGATTGGTTGCTTTTCAATTCAACTAATAAGGGTCAGACTTGTTTCTACACCAATCTATGCACGAGGAAAAGAAGCATGACGTCACTTTCCATCACATGACCGAGTCCACCAATAGAAGAGTGAGAAGAGATGAGTCTCCTTTGCATAGGCCGCCTATAAAAGCAGCACATGAGGGCGGCTCCAGCACACTTTCCCCAGCCAGCCAAGCAGTGGTGAACCCTGATCATGCCTGAACCAGCCGCAAGTCTGCGCCGGCGGCCAAGAAGGGCTCCAAGAAAGCCGTGACCAAGACCCAGAAGAAGGACGGCAAGAAGCGGAGGAAGACTAGGAAGGAGAGTTATGCCATCTACGTGTACAAGGTGCTCAAGCAGGTCCACCCCGACACCGGCATCTCGTCCAAGGCCATGAGCATCATGAACTCCTTCGTCAATGACATCTTCGAGCGCATCGCCGGCGAAGCTTCCCGCCTGGCTCATTACAACAAGCGCTCCACCATCACCTCCCGGGAGATCCAGACCGCCGTCCGCCTCCTCCTGCCCGGAGAGCTGGCCAAGCACGCCGTCTCCGAGGGCACCAAGGCCGTCACCAAGTACACCAGCGCCAAGTAATCCCCCGCCGGGGGCCCCATCATCCCAACAAGGACACAAAGGCTCTTCTAAGAGCCGCCCACCATTCCAATCACTGAGCTGTCATCACATTGTATTGCCGCTAGAGGTCCCCCACACGTCACACTTACACTGACATTCGTCATTCTGTAGTACAAGGGCCTCCCTCATTGGATACACATTGGAGGGGCACCTGGTTTGGGGGAATCTACAGGAATGTTGTAGAATGTATGGCCGGCCTTCCATGGGTCATGACATCGGTCATTGTTGTACAATCTGATTGGAAGGTGTAAATCTGAAGATGTATTCTAGATAGAAGAAATCCATCCGAGTCCCACATTCCCCTTATTCCGGAATTTCCGATATTTTCCCTCCTTGGAGATGTAAAGGTTCTCATTTGTACATTGAATATTGTCTGCTAGTGGGAGCCGGAAAATAAAACCGCCCGATCGCATTGTATATCTTCCCCGATACAGAAGTCAGTATTTCCCATCCTATGGAGGGGGATCCTATAGTATCCAGGAATATAGATCTATAGGGGTCATGGGGGGGACAGGTTCGCTTTGTGTTTGGTGACATATGTAGGACTATGCACAGAGCAGGCTCATGTCTGGAGATGTGTATACGGAAGGATGCTGCTGGGGGATGGGGGACATTGTCAGTATTCGGGGGGATGCTGCTGGGGGACATTGTAAGTATACAAGGGGATGCTGCTGGGGGATGGGTGACATTGTCAGTATACAGGGGGATGCTGCTGGGGGATGGGGTGACATTGTCAGTATACAGGGGGATGCTGCTGGGGGATGGGGGACATTTTCAGTATACAGGGGGATGCTGCTGGGGGATGGGGGACATTGTCAGTATTCAGGGGGATGCTGCTGGGGGACATTGTCAGTATACAAGGGGATGCTGCTGGGGGATGGGTGACATTGTCAGTATACAGGGGGATGCTGCTGGGGGATGGGGGACATTGTCAGTATACAGGGGGATGCTGCTGGGGAATGGGGGACATTGTCAGTATACAGGGGGATGCTGCTGGGGGGGGATGGGTGACATTGTCAGTATACAGGGGGATGCTGCTGGGGGATGGGGGACATACAGGGGGATGCTGCTGGGGGATGGGTGACATTGTCAGTATACAGGGGGATGGGGGACATTGTCAGGATGGGGACTTCTGGACACACTTGGCCTAGTTTAGGGCTCATCTGCTTCCAGTTATTACTGACACACATCCTGTCATTTGTCTCCTTTTGTCATACATTCCTGGGAGTCTAACTATGGGACATATATACACCATCATCCACCCAACTTAAATCGTAGGAAGACACGACTCAGACCATCAGATGGGCAAACATTGGCTTACTCGTTATATATATTGTCGGAATTTGTATTATGAGGGTTTTGAGTGATAAAAAAAAAAGAAATCGATCTTCCCAGATAAAACGGTAAATGGATGCCTCAGCAACCTGAACCCTGCCCTCTCCACTCCGCAGCTGATCAACCCTACGACAGCATCCTTCCCCTGTCCTGCCCCGACCTGGCTATGACTGCCTACAACAACTCTATCAGCCGCCCTTGACTCACTAGCGCCTTTAACCACACGAAACATCAGATCCCGACCGCTCCAGCCCTGGCAGACTGATCACACCAAAACTCTCAAACGACTCAGTCGTGCGCCGGAGCGACTATGGCACAAAACCAGATCTCAATTACCCTTCACCCGCTATAAATTTGCCTTTCACACCTACACCTCCTCCCTCCACGCTGCCAAACAAGCCTACTTCCTGACCCTCATCAAGACCCTCTCCTCCAATCCTCACCAGCTCTTCTCCACCTTTAACTCTCTGCTCTCTCCACCCAGAACCTCACTCACCGCCCTTGAGATTGCCAATCATTTCAAAAACAAGATTGACACTATTCGCAGGGATATCGCCGTTGCTCAAACTTCCTCCCAGGTGCGGACTGACTCATTGGGCCCCTGGGCAATAGGGGATCATGGGGCCCCTGTGTCCTTGCCCAAACTCAAAAAAGCCTATGAAAAAGGTACCAGGGGCATCTCATGGGGCCCCCTAATAACCCCTGGCCCTTGGGCAGTGCCCAAGTTTCCAAATGGTCAGTCCGCCCCTGCTTCCTCCCCCACACGTCCCCTTCTCACACAGCTACCCCCTCCTCACCTCTCTCCCTCTGTCTCACCACCTAACATTCCTCACACTGAAGCCCCCTCAACACTCCACTCCTTCGACCTCACTACCATCCAGGAGGTCACCAAGATCTTCTCTAATGCCCACCTCACCACCTGCCCCCTCGACCCTATCCCCTCACAACTTCTACGACCCTCCTCCTCCATCCTACACTCCCTCACCCGCATCTTTAATCTCTCTCTCCCGGTGCATTCCCCTCCCCTCTGAAGCACGCACACATCACCCCTATTCTTAAAAAGCTATCCCTGGACCCCAATGACCCGAACAACCTTCAATCCCATCTCCCTTCTGCCATTTACATCCAAACTCCTCGAGCGCTTAGCCTACAATCGCCTAAGCTCCCACCTCAACCACAACAACCTCCTCGGTCCCCTACAGTCCACCGAAACTGCCTTACTCAAACTATCCAACGACCTGCTAACCGCCAAAGCTAACGACCACTACTCAGTGCTCCTACTCCTTGACCTCTCTGCAGCCTTCAACACAGTTGACCGTCCCCTCCTCCTCAAAAAGCTACACTCCCTCGGCTTCAGAGATTCCGCTCTCTCCTGGCTCTCGTCCTACCTGTCACAACGCTCCTTCAGCGTTACCTGTAACGCTACCACCTCCCCCTCACTCCCCCTCTCTGTTGGGGTCCCTCAGGGCTCTGTATTAAGCAGCTCATCCACTCCCTCATCATATCACGACTCGATTACTGCAACTCCCTCCTCACTGGCCTGCCTCACCACAGGCTATCCTCGCTTCAGTCGATCCTGAATACGGCAGCCAGACTCATCCACCTCACCAACCGCTCTGTTTCCGCCACCCCCCTCTGCCAATCCCTCCACTGGCTCCCAATTGCCCAAAGGATCAAATTCAAAATCCTAACATTGACGTACAAAGCTGTCCATCATACTGCCCCAAACTACATCACCGACATAATATCCAAATACCACCCAACACGCACTCTCTTCACAAGACCTCCTTCTCTCTAGTTCCCTGGTCTCCTCCTCCCATGCCCACCTCCAGGACTTCTCCAGTGTGTCACCCATCCTCTGGAACACCCTACCACAATGTACAGCATTATAGGTAACGCTGAAGGAGCGTTGTGACAGGTAGGATGAGAGCCAGGAGACATCAGAATTAAGTATCTGGGGGTGATGGTGTGTGCATGTTTCAGAGGGGTGGGGAAAGTGCCGGAGGAGAGGAGAGATTGAAGATTTGGGTGAGGGAGCGTAGGATGGAGGGGAGGAGGAGGTTGTATGGGAGTTTGTGAGGGGATAGTGTTCGAGGGGCAGGAGTGGTGAGGCGGGGCTATCAAGAGAGGATATTGGGAAGGACTTTCCTCCGATGGTTAGTACGGTCAAAGGTGCGGAAGTGTTGGGGGGAGCTTCAGGTATGGAGGAATGTGAGGGGTGGGTGGGATGATGAAGTCAGAAAGCAGTGTGTGGGCTGTGGGAGATAGGGGTGATGAGGGGGTAGCCTGAGTGGAGGGTTGATGGTGGGTTTGAGAGAGTTTGAGCAGCGACCAAAAGTCCCTGCGGTTATGTCGAGGGAGGCAGGGGGGTTAAGGGGGTATCTGTGTGAGTGGGGACGGGTTGAGAGGGCGTGTGAGTTGCGGCAATGTCCTTGCGTATTGTGTCTCAAATTCTTGTTTTTTGAAGTGATTGGCAATCTCAAGGTGGCTGTGAGTGAGGGTGCTGGGTGCGCAGGTGGGGGTGGAGAGAGTCGAGAGTTGATGGTAGAGAAGCGTCGGCGAGGATTTGGAGGGAATGAGATGGCCTTGATGAGGGTCAAGATAGTAAGTGCCTGTTTGGCAGCATGCGAGGGAGGAGGTGTAGGTGGGAAGGCAGAGGTTCGGGGGTTACGGCGGGTGGGTAGTGGAAAAATTTGGGGGGTAGCGTTAGGAGGACAGGAAAGAGAAAAAAAATCAGGTTTTGGGTCAGAGAGGGGGGAAAAGGGGGTGTTATTTTGGGGGTTTTTGGGGGGCGCAGCTTTGGGAGAAGACAAACCCAAGGATATTACCGTTGGAGGGGTGGTGGATTGTTTTTCCCACTGTCCCAAGTTTTAAAAGGGGAGGTTAAGTGGGGAGAGGGGCCTTTTTTCCGGGGTTTTGTCGGGTTGAC